GCAACAACTTCTATTCAACACCATTCACTTCTAAAAGTGCTCATTAAAAAAAAAAATTAAACAAAAATAAGTCACTTGGGAGGGGGGACTCTCATCAATTTCTCCTTCCTACACACAATTCCAAGAGAGCATTTTACTCACAGTATCTTGGTCAAACCATCTGATGCTGAGAGTCCAGACACACATCATTCCTCCCAGCATTCTGGTGCCCTGATCAGCTCAGCAGGCAAGAGGCCAGACGGCAAGGCAGTACCACCTTTCCCTAGAAGCCTCTCCATCAAAACAGACATTGCTTCCGACTCTTAACACCAGCTGCGATGTTATTCGGGCTGCTCAGATCATATTTGACTGTTTATGTGAAGGTGCTGCATTTGATCTAATAACTTTCCATATTTCTGCCTTTGAGAGAAAGAACGTTATCCTAGGATGTTCTGCTTTTCTGGTGCTGAAAGGGAATAACCAAAAGCAAAAGGAAGACCAGTATTCACCGAAGAATTTAAACGGTATTCTGGCTGCCCTTCATCTTCTCTTTCAAAACAGAAGATGACAGATGAAATTTCAAGGACATAAATACATGTTGATAAATACTTGTTGCATGAGATTGTATATCTCTAATTTCCTGCTAAATGTACCTAAGTTAAAAAAAAAAAGAGTCTGAGAAAATTCTGGATTAGAAAAGATTTTGTTTGTTTTTAATAAGGACAATTTATTTGTGGGTTTTTACCGCTATACTTAGTACTTACTTTTCTGATCTCTAGTAATGAAACCTCGCCTAAGCTGTTATGGAGTATCTAGTAATACAGATGTTTTGTGGCGTGGTTGTTCATTTACCTTTTTTGGAAGAGCAATTATGTAAGAAAAAGAACAACCACCACCAAAATGGCAAGCTGGATATTTTAGCCTTCTAGTCTTCTGAAAAGGTCTCTGCTTTCTAGTCATCTGACATACAGATTTATAATGAATCTGCTATAATAATACATAATAATCTACTAGGCAATGCCAAGTACAGGGGTTCTCAAAGAGTAGTTTCTGGACCAACAGCATCAGCAACACCTGGGAACTCCTGAGAAATGCAAATGACTGGGGCCCACTCAGATACACTGAATTAGACTCTGGGTGGGGCCAGTAGTCTGTGTTTTAACAAGCCATCCAGGTGAATTCTGTTGCATCTGAAGTTTGAGAATCACTGGCAACCACACAAGTGGGACGTAGTAAATGGTAATTTAGAAGGACGGGAGGGGGAAGAATGAGCCAGCACATGCCAGCACACAGGAGAAAGAGAGAGCAACCCCTGATACCATATCCTAAGAATAGAGAAATGCTAAGTTTAATAAATAAAGCAAAGCAAATATAATAAACAGAAGGCTTTAATGTAAAATTGCTTATTGATTATTAGGTGCCATGGCTAACCATTATTTTCCATTGTTTTATTTAGAGTCTCCTCACTCTTACAAAAGGAAAACTTTTTTCTTTTCTTTTTTTTTTTTTTTTTTTTTTGAGAGCGTCATTCAGAACTCTCTGAAGAAGATGCCGTGAGATGATACCACTGGCCCATTTCCTCTCTACTACTTTAGCTAGGTAACCTTCACAGAGTACTTAACCTTATTGTTCTTCTGCTTCCCTGTCTGTGAAATGGGGATAATAACCACAATGCCTTCCTCATCAGGTTATGAGGATTCGGTAAGTTAGCATATATAAGGTACTTAAAAGAGAGCCATAGTAAGTAAGCACCCCATTCTCATTAGCAAATATCTCAATTATGAGAATGATTTTCATAGCCCTTAGGCCAGAAAATCAGCCTGGGTTCTGAGATTTAAAGGGCCCCACTCTGACTCCCTCCACCCATGCCCCTTTCCATTAAGCAGTGGCTCCACAGGATACAGGGGATGTGTCCACCCCGAACTTGTCCTATCCCACTTTTCTTTTAAACCACTGGCCATGGCAGTGTTTATGGTGGAGGTTAAAGGAAAAAAAAAAAAGGAAACAGCAGCTTTATGGTAGAGCTATGTTAAAAAAATGTCAGTATTCGGGGCGCCTGGGTGGCTCAGTGGGTTAAAGCCTCTGCCTTTGGCTCAGGTCATGATCCCAGCCAGGGTCCTGGGATCGAGCCCCGCATCAGGCTCTCTGCTCAGCAGGGAGCTTGCTTCCCTTCCTCTCTCTCTGCCTGCCTCTGCCTACTTGTGATCTCTGTCAAATAAATAAATAAAATCTTAAAAAAAAAAAAATGCCAGCATTCTCAGACTGCAGCCTGCAGGGACTTTTACTGGACCCCAGAATGACTGCACGGATGGGATCTGCAGAGAACTCACCTAGGGACTACCTGGGATCCTCAAAGTTCAAAGCAGTAAACCTTAATGTCACTAAACTCCACCCATACCTACCACCTTTCATAATTTTCAGCATTTTGCATCAACCATCCCTACGTCCTCCTTCCCATACTGCTCTAAAACAAGGATTATGCTGCTGCCTTTCTATTCAAAGCCTCTTCACTCTGTTCTCTAGAGACTTATTCTACTATTTTTAAAAGTCCCTACATTCTCAACCTCCTCAGAGAACAGTCCCTCATCTGCTTAGTGCTAAGTAGAATCTGGCTCCATCTACAGGACAATATGCACACTGCAGCCCTCTCAGCAATAGGAAGAAACCGAATTTTCCTAAACCCTACTGCAACTTCTAGAACTCAGCACCTTCACTTGCATGTAAGCAACCTTTTCCCCTGGAGGGAAGAGATCCTAAAATCTAGCACTTCTACGTTCACATCCAGCCACTTCCTATCCTCCTCCCTCCCCCATTCCTAATACGTGAGCCCTTATAACAGTGTCTATAGACCGCCAACTTTCTGCAACTGATACACAAGGAAATGCCTAGGAAACCTGAAAGTAAACATTTAGAACTTTACAGCAATTTGACATCAGACTTCTCTTTGAACAAGGTGTTATCAAACTCACATGGTGAGGCACAAGTGTGCTAGCGATATCCTCTAAAGATCCTACTTTTTTCCACCAAAGTATTACCCAAACTGTAACGTGCATACAAATCACTTGAGGAGTACCGTTAAAAAGTAAGTCTGGTAGTAGGGGGTGGGCCAGAGATTCCACATTTATTTAATTTTTATTTATTTATTTATTTACTTATTTATTTGAGAGAGCTCGAGCGAGTTGGAGGGAGGGGGAGAGGAATGGGGAGAATCCTAAGCAGGGTCCACTCTCAACATGGAGCTCCACGCCCCGCTCTATCTCACACCCTGAGATCATGACCTGAGCCAAAATCAAGTGTCAGACACCTAACCTTAACTGAGCCATTCAGCCATCCCGAGATTCCACATTTCTAATGAGTTCCAAGTGATACTGATGAGCAGATCTACAGAACTACTTTAAATAATGAGGTTTTTAGACAACTTAATTATGAGATTTTCTCCAATCAGCCATGCTGTTTGCTATGCCTGTATTTTGCAAATGCCTCTCAAGTATTGCAAACCGAACCTCTGCAATCACTACCGCCTCTGTTTAGAGTCACCGCTACTAAGAGACTGTGCAAATTTGGGAAAATTAGGTAAATTCCCTATGCTGCAATTTCCTCACTTTTTTTTTTTTGAAGATTTTAATTTATTTATTTGAGAGTGAGAGGGAGAGCAGAGAGAGAGTGAGAGCTCATGTGCAGAGAGTGAGAGGGAGAAGGAGACTCCCGGATGAGCAGAGAGTCTGAGGCAAGGCTCCAATCCCAGGACTGAGATCATGACCTGAGTCGAAGGCAGACATTTAAGGATTGAGCCACCCAGGTGCCCCCAATTTCCTCATCTTTAAACAAGGAATAATTCTGGGTACCTCTTTGGACTATGGTGGGACTCGAATGGGTTAATTAATGTGATACTGATAATAATACTTGGCTTATGTTAGCCATTATAATTTTTTCTTTTTAATTTTTATTCCTGTCTTACCCACTTAGGGAACTCTTGTTCACCCTTAAAGTCTGTTCGTGTCACTTCTATGAAGCTCTTTTGACATCCTCCCACCCCAAGTAGAGTAAACCACCGACCTGTTTACTGCACTTATAATTTAACTCTACTAAGCTATTCCTGACCAAATATAATTTAAATATTTACATATTTCTCACATCCCAGTAGGCATGTCTTGAGAGCAGGAATTTTCTTCATCCATTTCTGTATCCCTAATGCCTATTACGCTGACTGGAAATAGAATGTTTTATGTGAATTATTATGAATGAATCCTTTAAAGCTTTCTAGGCTTCAGCAGAAACAAGTGTTATAAAATGTTATCATCAAAACCATGAAATGTCATTATATTTTATTAGGAAGATTTTCTCAAGAAATAAAGTCAATCATGAGAAATCATTTTAAACCACTTATATAAGACTTAAGCTTTAGGACTCTGTGACAATCCCAGTCATTTATTCCGTGGTGAGAGCAAGAAGAAGAAAGGAAACATAGGAGTAGTTTTTAACAAAAAGTCTTTCAGGTTGCAGTATTTGTCTTTTTTTCAGTGAGCAACACTTAAATGTATAAGTGTTTAAATTAAATTCTCTAGACATCTTTCCCATCCTATCAATACACTGATACATGATTTGACTAAAATGTAGTTACTCTAATACAGACAAAAGGAAATGCATCTGGCAAATAATCCAATTTGGTCCTTTATTTCTCTAATGCACCTTAGCTTCACGGCAGTTTTTGACTGAAGCAAACTTCTGAATAACACTTCGAGGTAAGCATAAAATGCCGTCTCCCTCCTCCATGCTCCTGAAACATACTACAAGCTCTAGGACCTCTAGTTTTTACAGGGAAGTGGGGAGAAGTTAAAGAAATAAGAGTCTCGAGCATGAAGCCACATAAGACTACTTTTCCAAGAACTACTTGAATTATGTCCTATTGCTTCAGTCCCCTGACCCAGCAGAGGAAAATGATACAGGTGCATTCATTTAGGGAGGACAGAGCAATTCTGTGCCTAAAGCCCTCCCAGCCCCAAGCATTCCTCTCTCCTTACCTCTGGTTTTCAGGGGAGGCAGGGTAGGGTGAAGGTCTTTATTGCATTCATTCCGTTCTGTGCAGCACTCAATTGACCTTCTTTGATGAGGAATGGGGGTGTCCTAAAGTTGAACCCAAACAGCGATTAGTGGAGCCCCCTATATTTCAAAGTTACATAATCGAAAACTTTTTAAAGAACTAACACTATTTAGAGAGCTCACTTAAAATTCTGATGATTTTTCTCAAACATCCTGAATATTTTGTTTTCTATTAGGAAATTGCTCTTAAATTTCCCATGTATTATCTTACTGCAGTTTTGCATTTCAACAAAACTACTATTGCATTTAAAGAGCCAGGGCACATAGTTATAAACTGAGGAAGAAGGCTTGGATTAATGCAATTAACTAAACTAGAATCTGAGCAAGACAATCGAATGAATCACTAACGCAAGAAGTTAACCATGTTTGATTTTGAAATGAAGGCAGAATTGGCCCAATGAAAGAATTTTCAAATTACTTTCCAACTTACTAAATACAGGCTAGTCAAGAAAAGCAATTGTTTTATCTAATGTGAAACCTGACTGAAAGCTGACAATGAAAGGTTATGAAGTAGAATCAATTTATCTTCCTTACCCGACACTGAAAATCTGAGCCTTCTAGTCCTAGACATCCAGAAGTGACCACAGGCATCCCAGAATCATCTTCTTCTATCATTGTGAAACAATATCCATCTGTGCTAAAGACCAAACAGGCAAAGTAAGTGTGTGTGTGTGTGTGTGTGTGTGTGTGTGTGTGTCTGGGGGGAAAGGAACATGTTTGTCATTTGTTCTATTACGTATAAGGACAAAGTCGATCATCATTACAGGTTACAATCTGTTAAGAGAATTCCAAAACTTCCTTTTGTGAAATTTGATTTAATAACCATAAAACAATTGGTAATATCTTCTCTGTCTAGAAACTTGTGAGAAAGAAGGAGCCAAACTTTCCATATAACATATGCCATTAATAACTATATGTGCCAATTACTGACACCTGCTTTGGTCTTCCGTAGACATCCCCTCCACACATCCAGGAAAATGACTCCATGAGGAAGGCGGTATTATGCTCATCTTTGAATGAGGCTCAGAGAGCTTGAGCAATTTCTCAAGAACCTTACAGCAAATGAGAGGCCCAGTAGGGGTTTGCCCCCATGCAGGTGAACATTTATGCTGGTTCTATTTGCTCCAAATGAAATAAACTTCTCTCTTACTAAGGCACCAAAAAAAGACAGGTAAGAGTTGGGATCAGCACAGCATAACCCAGCTAAGATTCTACCATTTGGTCCCTCTGCTTTGGGGCTGATCTGTCATATGGAAGAAACATCGAGCTCTGTTGTAAACAGGCAGAGCTTATACTGGGGGGTGGAGTGAGGATGAACAACAGAAAGAAGGGGTTTTAACAGGACCACAGAAAGCAAAGAAAATTCTAAATTTATGTATGGCTTTCTAGATTAAAAAAAATTACTTATTCTACCTCATTTAATCCTCCCAACAATAATGGAAAGAAAGTAGTATTATTTCTATTTTAAAGATGAGGAAATTAAAGGCAGGGAGTCTAATAAACGTGTACAGGGTCGCAGAAAAAATGGTAACAGAATCAGGCCTTGAGTCAAGGACCTCTTGCTTCATCCATCCCCCCATCTTGCTCTATCCTCTCCTGGGGCCAAATCTGGAAAACAATAACTCTGACATACAGAACTATTGATAAACCGACTTCACTGTCTTTGTAAGTTAGGGTGATGAATGCCAGCAGACTCCTAATGTTAGTCACCCACTACTACTGCGTGTGCTGAGAATTAAAATACTAAATTATATCTCCATCTTTTTCTCATAATTTGCTTGCTCAGTGTCCAAGACAGACAACAGCAGCATCGTCCTGAAAGGTCAAGGGAAGAAAGTGCTGAGCAGCGCATTAGCTGTGATTTGTGGGCTTGTCTATTCGGTATCCATGGCAGCAGCGTTCTGCCATACATTAGCCCTCCAGTTATCATCAACACCCTTAGAATTGTTTACTCAGTTTATAACCCTCAAGTGATCCAAAATACCTCAGTTTATAAGAACTAGACTGGCAAAGTTCAAATACACTAACGAATGGCTAGGAGGGACCACTGATAAATCTCTTCATTAGACTGAGGTCAAATGCATGAATACGGTCATGGAAGAAAGACTGCCTCTGAACAGCCCTTGCTCTGAATTCTTAGGGGGCTTTTAGTCAATTTATTGAAATTGCTAGGAAAATCTGAAGCATGTAAACACTGAAGACAATAAATAAAAGAGCTGTCCCTTAGAAATTCAAACAATATGAGCAGATAATAACCGTCTGATTTTTTTATTCCTTTCCTTCCTATTTAGACCATATGTATAACTTCTTTTTCTGATCAAAAGTAAAATTCAGAAATTATCAGAAATAAAGTCAATTTAATTTTTTTTAAAGATTTTATTCATTTATTTGAAAGAGAGAGAGATATCACAAGTAGGAAGAGAGGCAGGCAGAGAGAGGGGGGGGGGAAGCAGGCTCCCTGTTGAGCAGAGAGCCCAATGCAGGACTTGATCCTAAGACCCTGAGATCATGACCTGAGCTGAAGGCAGAGGCTTAACACCCTGAGCCACCCAGGTGCCTCTTAATTTTCTGACATTAGGAATTCACAGAGCTAGAAAAAGTGATACAATATGTTAAATCTAAAAAGATTAATTTCTCATTATTTATGAGTTCCCCTTCCTCAAAATCTGAATATATGGAAACACACTCATAAGGATTAAAAAAAAAAAAAGAAAATTAAAAGTAAAAAACTGGTTAAGCTGTGGTCAAGTCACTCCAACAATGTCCTGGGAAATTAAAGAAATTAGGGAGAGTAAATTCAACCTTAAAAATACACTCCTTTGGGGGCACCTGGGTGGCTCAGTGGATTAAAGCCTTTGCCTTTGGCTCAGGTCATGATCCCAGGGTCCTGGGATTGAGACCCGCATCAGGCTCTCTGCTCAGCAGGGAGCCTGCTTTCTCTCTCTCTCTCTCTCTCTCTGCCTGCCTCTCTACCTACTTGTGATCTCTGTGTCAAATAAATAAATAAAATCTTAAAAAAAAAAAAAAATACACTCCCTTGTCTGCAAAGGGGCCAGGGCTAAAAACACAGAGAGTGTGGAGGAGGAGAAAAGTCCTGGAGAAAAGTCAGTATCCCATAAGTCAACAACTGGGACAGAAACCAAATATGTAGTTGGAGAAGCAGAAAGGTTAGAGAACAATTTCAAGTGCATATTTTCGGCAACAAAGCAAAAATAGTATTTTTTAAGATTTTATTTGTTCATGACAGAGACAGAGAGAGCAATCATGAAAGAGGGCAGGGTGGGGGCAGGCAGAAGGAGAGGGAGAAGCAGGCTCTCTGCTAAGCAGGGAGTCCAATGCAGGGCTCCATCCCAGGACTGGGATCAAGACCTGAACCAAAGGCAGACACTTAACTGACTGAGCCACCCAGGCACAAAACAAAGCAAAGCAAAATTCATTTATAAGCTTCTCACTGAAACTACTAGCTAGCAAGAGACACTGACTGGAAAGGAGCAGTACAATTACAGAAGCTTAAGAATCACTCGAGAACTTGAAATTCTTGAGCAAACACAAACGTAAAACCAAGCTGTGCCCCTGAGTCCAAGCTGTTCAACTACCTCCACTAAGAGATGCCTGCTGACTGTCACAAATGGCAATTAAGCCTCGGCACCAGCTTATTTGAATATTCTGCGGCCTGGCTCCCACGTTAAATCTTAGTTTTTAAATGCTTTATATTGATTATTATTACCTCATCATTCCCACTGTGTTGAAAGTAACAAGAAGAAATGAAGCCTCATGAAGAAAACACAAGTAGAAATCATTTTAAGCAAAACTGAGAGTAGTGAGATGTATACAAAGGCATGCCATTTGGTTACAGTAGTGATAATGAATTAAAAAGAAAGAAATTAATGTAACATTTCAAAAATGCTGCCCCTGTATTAACAGGTAAAGACAAGTAATGAACAAAATAGAATAGTTGCCTACCAAGGAGATCAGTCATCATCACTGACTGCCTCTCAGCATCATGTTAATTTATGAAAAAGCAAAGCATTTCAGAATTTATAGGTCAGGTGAATTCAAAGCACTGATGATGAACTTTTGTTAGAACCGTCAGAGGGTGCCTTGAATCTGCCCAATATTCCAAAAGCAAAGACGTGCCTCAAACATCTAGAGAGATCACTAGGGAGTTAGCTCTCTCCAGACATTTTCAGTAAGAAGCAAGTAAGCAAGTAAGAAACAGGTACACGGGGCTCAAAGTCTGGGATGGATATGCAACCAGAACCTGCGCTCTTCTCATTTGTAGTCAAACTGGGTTTATAAACTGCCTCTTGGACTCCAATTCATCCATGATTCTTGAAGGATAATCAGAAGCTAATTCCATAAATGTCTAAAGTTGCACCACCAGAATCTTTATCTAAGGTGCTCTCTTGATTGTTTTGTTTCAGGGAATCAAGTGTTTATAAGGTTTACTCACAACGTGGTCCCTTTCCCTCTATTCTTCCACTAAGACGTTATGACTCCCTGTTGCAGATGCTAGGGTTGTTCACACACACGACCACACAGTTTAGAAGGGACTACTGTAGAACTTTTTTCTAACTAGTTTAGATCTTCATAAAGATGAATTTCACTATAAAATAATTTTTAAGTATTAGTTAAGAGGAGTTTAACTGTTCTGCTCAATCAGGGTGACAGGAAGTCTTAAAGCATCATTAAAATATTTTTTATTATCAAATAAATTATTTACTGAGTAATTTAAAATTTTGCTCTTGACAGAAATAAATTATATATATGGATACTTGCTGAAGTGGATCTCTCTGCCCACAAGGAGTATAGATCTCTTGACTGATCAATATTTATTCCAATTTTATTTCAGAATGCAAGAAATATTAGAATTCCTAAATTTCTTTTAAATTCCTTTTAGGTTTCAGCCACAATTGATTGGAAAGACTGTTTGATTTTAAGTAGATTTTAAAAGCAGTCCTTGAGAACATTCTGTCTTCTAAAATACCTATTTCACTTTCAAGGGAAATAAAGAAAGTTTTTTAAGTTTTCTGTCACAGATAATCTCAAAGGTTCATACAAAGTTTAGAGCAGTTATTTAAATCATGTAAATTTTAGTCAACTAAAACAGTGAAAGCTGCTTAGATCTTTACTAACAGTAGTTCATTTGACAAATATTTATTCAGCACATGACCATTAAGGCAGACTTAGATGCCCAGACACAAGCTAAGGAAGATGTAGTCTTCGCTTTGAGGGAGCTCATAGTCTATGAATGCTATGATCCTAGGAGAAACCAAGTCATCCCACCTCTAGCAATAAGGATAGAAATCATAAGCTAGTCAAAGTGTTTTCTACAGACTTGGGAAAAAAGCAAAGAATGTTGAACTTTGGTAATTATCAAAGTAACAGAATCCCAAAATTTGTTTTTTTTTCCTTATCATCTTAGATGGGCAGATTCCCATGGTAGTGAGGGAAAGAGGGTAAAACATATAGGACCACTACTGCTCCCCATCTCTGGTTTTCCTTGGAGACATCCTATCTCTACAGGCAGATGAAGTTAGGTTGCTAATAAAGTTCCAACATGAGAAATGTCTTTTACTTTATCGTCAAGAATGTGTAACTACCTTACACCCTTCTCTAGCAGCCACACCAAATGATTTGGCATTTTGTTCATTTTTTTCTATGAGGGAAAAGATCTTCTGAATTTGTCTCCATTTTTATATGAATCCAGCAATTATATAGTCTCACCTCCACTACCTTGAGCAGATGCTCTCTGTCTCTCACTTCAATTGCTCTGAAAGCCTTCCAGCAGGCCTGCCTGTCCCCTCTCGCTGGACTAGGAAGGACTCTGTACAGCATACTTGCTGAGAAATCTCGCATTTTCCTTCTCTGCTTGAAAGTCTTCAACGGTTCTTAAAAAGATCATCAAGCTCAATATTCAGACAGTCTGAGCAATAGTGGAATAAAACGGATGTAGTGGAAGATGTATAAACAGAGAAGAAGAGCGTGCACTTTAAATGTTCTGAGATCTTAGCTAGGGAGCACCTGTCTGAAAACTCACATCATCACATTCAGCAAGGGGTTTAAAACTCTTGGGTAATGCAAACTTTATAAAAAGGCTCCCAGCCCCTAAGCTTTCCCTTCTTCCCACTCTGACTCTTCAAGGTACAGTCGGGAGACTCATCTAATTCTTCATTTAGGCAGCCTGCTGTCACATGCGCACCTTCTGTGCAAACATCTGATGTGATTTATTATACCTGTAAACCCTGAAAACTGTCCAGGCAGAATTCTTGGTAAAACCCAGTAAGATAAATGGTAGCATATTTAAAATCATCTCTGAAAAAGAATGAAAAATAATTTTTAGAAATGGATAGACTTCTGTGACTGGGTGAACTTGAGAGAGGTGATGAGGAGTAACAAAGATGACTATCACAGGCCAAGTCCAAGTAAGACAGGGAAGGATATATAAAGCAGGAGCAGACTATATAGAGAAAAAAAAAAATGGACAAAGAAAACTGGAAAATAAGACAAAACACTGGCATGGTGAAAGTCATGTAAAGAGTTACTGCAGGAGACTTTGAAGCATTCAAGGGTGTGTAGTGATAGTCTCAGGTCCTAGGAACTGATCTAGAAATGGAATGGGAAGGATTCACCCCTTCCCTTTGGAAATGGAAATGAAGTAGTGGCTTCACCCCTCACTCTGAATTGTGGATATTAAAAAAGGTTCCAATACTTTCTTCAGCATACTTGTGCTACATCCTCTAACATGTACAACATGAGGCAATAGAAATGGCATGGATTTTGGAAGCAGACACACCTGCATCAGGTAGGAACCAAGGCAAAGAATGAGTCTAGCCTTGGTGTTGGCAGGTAACGTGATTGCTGCTATGAAGAGTATAAAACCCCTCTAAACTCTACACATTTTTTTCTGAATTATCAGATGGAATTTCGGAATCTCTTTTAAGGAGGATATACTCTTGTTTCAGGCCACTTTTTAAGATTATTCTGTCTAGGAATATGGGAGTGGTAATGTGCCTGAGACCTACCTACAATAACCAGATTGGCTAAGAACTGCTTACTACAAGGCCTCAGGCCACACAGCTTGAACCAGCCCTTATCTAAGCCTCAACAAAGCATACTCTGGTCTTTAGAACTGGTTTACCTAGGAGTGCAAGACTGAATGCAATATTACTCCAAGTGTATGCCCTTGCAGGTCAGCAAATTGCTTGTTCCTGGTCTGTGAGCAGTTAATACAGAAGTGGAAACTTGCATAGCAATAAACTTAGTTCTACTAAATCTCAATAATGGAAAAAAAGAAAAATTTGAATATACAATTTATAAAGATTTTTAAATTTATTTTCTAGTAATTCATTTTTATTGTACTTTAGAAAAGTATCAATGCAGCTGATTGCGGTTGGGGCGGGGGGTTATATTTTACCAGAAACAGCATGAGAAGTACTGATTGTTGGAAGTCAAAAGAGTACATCATGGACTTACAAGAATGGAGGCCTGAATTTATTCTAGGTCTCGGGGCCCAGGAACAAAAGTAGCCCCTGTGCTTCACACAACTGATCTCAGCTCACAGGAGACTCAAATGGAGTTAACATCTTGTTCACAAAAAGGATGTGCCTTTTACCCAAGAATGAATATTCACTCCTTTGAGATCAAGTTCAGGGGTTGGGTGATGGTCAGGAATTCAGGACTTTGGAATACGTATTTCTAAACTGCAGTTATCAAGGTCAATAAATACGACTGCCAGATTTTGGTTCTTATCCGACTTGACCTCTAACAGCATCTAACACAGCTGACCTTACTGCCTCCCTCTGTAAACCTGGCTTCAACGATTACCATACTCACTGCTTTTTGTTCATTCTGAAACTTCTGAGAAGAGCCTCCTTGACCCAAGCATTAAATGTCTCAAGGCTCAGTCCTACTCTGGTCTACCAGATTGTTCTATTACTGTACTCAATTTTCCATGCCCCGCCCGAGCCATGGCTTCTCTCCAAAGTTGAGCTTGACTGTATCACTTGATTTGGTTAAGTAAAATGCTAGAGGACATGCTACAAGAACAAGAGGTTGTTCCTTTCCAGGCAAGTTAAAAAGCACATGTCCTGGTTAGCTTCTTGTCCAAGAAGGATGAACAAACATGTGGAACAGGCCTGAATTCAAGCAAGCCCACCCAATCCAGCAGGGCCCAGCACAGCTGCAGCCCATTTGTAGACCCAGGAATGAAAAAAATAAATATCTTTAGTTGTGAGTCGATGTGATTTTGAGGTTATTTGTTTCACAGCAAAAACTAACTCATGTTCTACTCACTCTAGACTCTACCCCCAAACTCTTATCCCAGCTCCAGATCCATTTCCCATGACCAACTCTTTGGTGTCTCCATTTGCAGGTGTCAAAAACCTTAAACTCAGCATGTCCAAATTGGAACTTAATTATTCCCCTCTGTCCTCTTTCATTAAAAGCCTACACTGTACAACTCAATGAACATCCATCAACCTGTGAAGCCCCTTTGGGCCCCTCGCACAAGTAGTTCATCAACGTAAAACTTTCCTTCTACATAGCTCCCCAACACATGCGCATCCCTCTTGCGTCGGCACCACCTGAGTCCAAGATCATGTTCTCTCACATCAACTGTCCTTCTGAAATCCTCATCAATACTACTGTTACTCCTGCTGAAACCAATGCCCCTCCATGGCCTCCCAGTGCTTCCAGGTATAAAATGAACATTCTTAATAGAGCCAACCAGGCCATGGGTCATCTTTCTTGGCTCCAGACTCCACTACAGCCATACCTCCTCCTGCTCCTTGCATGTTAGGAAAACCAGTCTTCTTTGAACATACCAACCTTCTCCTTCCCACACACAGCATCTGCGCTGCAGTGAGCCCTGTCCGATCATGTTCTTCCAAATCAATGCAGGACAGACACTCCAGTGGCCAACAGAGACAAGAGGACAAAATATTTAAAGTTGGGATAATTTCGGAAGGTCTACACATATGATCACCAGAACTACAGCTTAAATGATGCACCTTGATTTATTCTTAATTACTACACACTCAGGAAAATCAGTAAAATATCTCCCTAGCATGTTTCCTCCTGACAATATTTTCTTCAGAATACTTTGACATTTTCCTGATACTTTTGCCATATACTACAAACAGGTAGTGTTTCCCAGGAAATACGTCTGACCTCTGGAATCATTTTACCACAGCACAAAACTCAGCAATCCCAACTTTGTTCTATCATATAAGAGTTGAGTTACTAGACTTCTCTGGGCCCTGAATTCCTTACAGCTAATTTTAAGAAATAAGCATGCCCTACCATGCTGAGTTGTTTTGCTGATTAAAGGAGATATGTATTTATGAATACACCCAACATTCTTCCATGTCATTCAGTTAATACATCTTTCTTGAGCTATATATATCTCATGATATGCTTTCTTTCTCAGGAAGAAAAAAAAGCATTCAGCTCAGCTTCATGCTCCTTCCTGGGTAAAGAGGCTCCAAATGATTGCTCAGATACTCTGCCTGGACTTCAAACCCAGCAGCCCATCTTCCCATTTGGGTCTATTACCCTTCTTGACAGAGATTCTTCTTTCCTGCCATTTTAACTCTTGAGATCTGCACTTGTCTGGTTTGTTCTGCCATGTCTCCCTGGGCACACTGGCCTCATTACACTATACCTCTTTACCCACTGCTGTCCCCATGGGGGGCGTAAAGGCAGGCTACAGTGTCCACCAGAATGGATGTAGCTGCTTTAAGATGTGTATGAAAGAAAGCAGTAAATAGTCCAGTTTCAAATAAAGTCTTGATACAAATCTGATTATCCACTGAGGAATTTATTGTCTAGTACTCTGACAATGTCTTTCCTAACCTCTGGTAGGCTCGTCATGTGGGCTCTCTCACTATACCGCTTCCCAAAGCTAGTGAATATTCGTAACGACTCACGTGTTCTTTCCAAAAGATTAACCACCATTGATATGATGAATGGTTAAAACAAATAAAAATCCTCACACATTTGACACCACCTGCTACTGAATTTATTTTGAGGACAAGTTTTTTTGAAAGAAAACAATTGGTTTTTGCTCCTTGACATTTGTCCCAAGCCTGGGACTTGTGTTCTATGTTTGTATACATGTGTGATATTTGCAGCAAGGAAGGAGACTCTCAGAGCACCATTTCAGGCCCAAATGCAATCTAATACTTTTCCAAACACAGGCACAGCTCTGAGAGGCAATGGAGTTAGGCACTATTCCCCAAAATGTGTTTTTAGAAAATATCAGCCTACAGTTCCATAGTCAAAAAAGCATGAATCTTTGTTAAAATGAGATTTAAGTAATTCATATGACCAACCTGCAAATATTGTTGACTGAGTCTTCTGGACAATGGTGGTGGCATTTGCAACGCAAGATCTTTGGACGAGGGGTGGGAGCTGTACTCTCACCATCCTCTTTCTTGGTGCCCACATTTAATTTTCCTGAGCTTCGCAAAAGCATGTTATCAAGTAAATTTGCTGAAAAGAACAAAGAGTAAGAGTTTAAGTATCTGTGGGATAACCCAGCCAAAGTCTTCTACTTAAAGGAACAATGAGATTAAACAACATATTAAGTACTTATGAGACTTAAAGATTTAAATATAAAGCAGTTATTTTAAAGATTTTGAAGCTCAATATAACTGTACTTATAGAATTATTATAATTATGTAATATATGTCTCATATAAAGTACAGAAATTCTCATAACCCTTTGAGGATAGCATCGTATACAATAAATTTTAAGAGTTGTATTTGATTGAATACAATGAGCTCAACAAGCACTAGTGTATAGATCATCTCTACTCTGTATGGTAACGGTATGGGTAAATATCATTCCCACTTGCAGATGAGAAATTAAAGACTCAAAGTTTAAGTGATCTGCACACAGCTAATCAATAATGAAGCCAGCACTTAAACCCAGATTGTTTGGGCCCTAAAACTGTCTTCCTACCAGTCTCCTTACTTTAGGTGTATCATTTATTTTTGAGGAAATTGTTAGAAATATTCAATATGCAAAATTGGTAGGAAGATGAAAACTTAGTTATCACTAAGATACATCAAACGATACATCTTCCCCATCAGCTTTCACCTGAAAAGTGCCTTTCTGTTATAGTAGCAATGGTTGTACATTTTGAATGGAAGACAGGATATGATAGTAGATGCGATCTCTAGAGACAGATTTTCTGAGTTCATAATTAGACTTTACTATTTACCAGTTGGTTGACCTTGGTTAACTTTATAATATAATCTTATTGTGCTTCACTTATCATTAAAGCAGAGATAATTATAAGCACCTACTTCACGTCAACAGCTTCGGATGCATATGTTACATAGTAATATTTGATAGATGTTAGCTAATATTATTAGAAAGATCTAAGTTTTTTACATTTTAAATAGAAAGATTTCATTCATATAGGGTGAACTACCACTTAGGTGGTTTTCATACTTTCCCTCTCTACCACCACTTTTGGAAAGTAATGATGCTCACGAGGGGGACATGCATTAACTGATACCTATTATGATCCAGACATTGTGGCAGGAGTTCTCATACATGCTATGTCACTGCTTAAATTGTCAACCCAAGCAATGTTTGATTTACCCATCTCTCTCACAACACATCGAACTTGCCTATAATTAAAACAAATCTCAACAAAAATATTATCTAAAATATATTGGGTTAAAAAACAGAAATTCTAGGCCAAAGATGCAATATACTCAATAGATGCATTATGCAGTGTGCACACATTCATTCCTTAAACCACAAATTAATGCCTCTAGCCACTGGTCACATCAGAGAATGGAGAAGTTTAAAAAATATATATATATATAATTTTTCCTGACTTTCTGTATGGTAAGCTAATTTTGCAAATTCCTAAGAAGTAATAATTGAAGGGGAAAACAATAAAATGTATTAAAACCTTTCACCAGAAAATCCCCAATCATTAATTCTTAATTCATTAGATTGTTCAAATTTATATAAGACATGTACCTAACTCTCTCAAAGTTTCTTAAATTTTAGTCTAGCGAAGACATGTAGATTGTCATGCGCACAGGCAGAGTTTGTTAGAGGAGAATCCCGGGCCACTCACAGTGATTCTGATTCCATAGGTTTCAGGCGAGCCAAGGAAAGTGAATGTTCAAGATCCCATGAGATTCTGAGACATATCATGTGCAGACTCCACTTTGAGAAACTCGGGACTAGATTAAGCTAATATTATTTATTTAATCCAACCATATAATTCATTGCAATAGATATATGTTATCTCTATACAATAGGAGGCTTATCCTTAAATTCCAAAGTAAACATATTATATGTATCTTGTATTTAAAGCCATTTGTTACAAGTTTGCCTGCATAAACACCTCAGCACTGCTTGCTATCCAGGTGCAGTGGGCGTTGGTAAACCTGTATGTCACCCTGCCATGCTGGCTTCCTTCTTTTTAAAGCTGGTTCTCAGTCTTGCTAACTTTATGACCTGAGTAACCTCGAAGTAACTCAAAGTGATGAAAATAAGTTATTTAAAATTTATTACATCCTGCTTCCTTCATACCAGACCCCTTCACTTTGAAGTTTTAAAACAAAATAATTAAAATTCATTTATTATGCATATGTCTCATTAGCAAATATATATCGGGTGCCTTTCCTGTTCCAGGCACAGCCTGTGTATGTACGATGAACTGAAGATACACAGGATTTCCCATCTGGTGGGAAAAGTGGTTAAATGGAATGTTTATACTGAAAGGTCTCTGTTAGAAAAGGAAACATCTTCTTAATATCGGAAATAAGATGTCTTTTAGTAAAAATACTTTAAGAAAGGATTCATAATTTTTTTATATTTTAAATTTAATTAAAGACTGATATAAATTCTAGCTAGAAGGAAGTTCTTTGCAATATTGCTTCTAACAACCCACGTTTACAATAGTGGACAGGTCAGAGCTCTAAAAAGAGATTCCTATGTAGTCATTAAAATGTTGGTGTGGAAATATAGTTATTGGCAAGAAAAATATTAAAATACATTTTTTGTTGGAAAGGTAGATTAAAAAGTATTTTAGTTATGAATCCCACTAGAATAACAGGAAAAAAGCCTTAAAAAAAGAACCTACAATATAAAAGAGATCAATAAAAACCAGGTAAGCAGAAAGAAAGCAGTTAACTGATTTAACTAAGCAAAGATGCTGACTCCTAGTCCAAAGGTGGAGAAAAGCCAAAAAGCAAACCCATTTTACCACTTAACTCCAAAAAGACCCCAGAGTGGTACCAGAAGTGGCTTTGAGAAGTATAGTTCATCTGCCCTCTCTTATCCCCAAAGACTGGTAACATCATCTCCACCCTCCCTTCCCCTGCATCCCCGCAGAAGACTGAAAGAGTAAATCTGTTATACTTATCACTGAGATGCCTTCCTTATGAATTCCTCTTTTACCATCAAGGTGAAGGGCTGTAGAAAACTAAGCACAGGGGAGGGCAAGGGGTACCATCTTACTGCAAACATTCAGTGACCATCTACACTGGCTGTCAACTCCTCCTGTCCTCTCCCTCTACATGGCTTCCAGAACTTGATACAGCCTGGCTTATCTCTTCTTTACTCAGGAATTTGACCAGGTCAAGGACAAACAAAATACCCAAAGACAGGGATATTAGAGATTTCTCAGCAAAACAGCCCTGCAATATTATATGGTGAGGCCCATTGGTGACAAGATCTACCCAATGAAAGGAACTTCTAATCAGATCTTATAGTGATCCATTCTCTTATGCACAAGCCACTAATTCAGGGTCACTAGATATATGAAGAAAACCTCAAATACCAAATATTGAGAAGAAACCACACACACAAAAGAAATCTACTTGGAAAAAAACATACAATGGGGAAAAAACTTTAAAAAACTACAATTAATACTGTCATTCTCATTAAAAAAATACGTAAATGAAACAAGAACGTGTTGCTACCAAAAGGGAGTAACAAATAAGGAACTCTAAAAATATGATTGCATAAATTAAAATCCCAATAGGTGAGTTGAGATAATCTCCCACATTGTAGGTCTAAACACAGAGATGGAAGAGTTCAGTAAATTAGTAAATTAGAGCATCAATCTAGGAAATTCAAAATGTGAGTAATAATATTATCTCCAGAAAGAGAGACTTGAGAAAATAGAGGGGGGAAATCATCAAATAAATAAATTGTGTACCATTTCCATAACTGAAAATCATGGTTTTCTAGTTTGAAAGGATTCATAGAGTATATGAACAGACCGACACACCAAGGTATGTTGTAAAATATATAACATGACAGGCAAAGGGAGATCTTATATAACATATATTTTATGTATATAAAAGAGATTAAAAGTAAGGGTAGCACTGAATTTTCTATAGCAAAACTGGAAAGTAGAATAAAATAGAGTAATGTCTTCAAAATTGTGAAAAGAAAGTATTTCAAATCCAGAAATCAATACTTGAGTAAATCACAGATCAAATATGATATGAAAAAAAACTGAAGATTTTCAAGGTGTCAAAAATTTACCTCTCATACCCCTCTCTCAGGAAGCTACTGGAAGAGAGGCTCTCTCCAAATGAATGTGTAAACAAGAAGACAGAAGAAAGGAGTTTCTGCTATGGGAGATCCAACCCAAGTGCAAGGAGAAGCATACTCTCCAAGACAATGGTAAAGGTGGTTGGTAAGATGAAAACTGTGACTGGACAGGAGGAATATCAGGCCTGACTGAAGGCAGGTCCAAAAATTCAGGGAGAAGAAATCTAAGAAGTTAAAATTAATACAATAACTCAGGTGTTTTAAATTTAAACTGATCAAGAGTTAGGAAATTAATTTGTGAAGGAAATATAGGAATCTAAGGAAACAAATAACATTTTAACTTCTAGACATAAAGCATAGGGGATGGAAATATGTATATAGTGGGAGAGAGTGGTAAAGCTTCAAAAGTGGAAAGTCAAAGGTAATGCCTAAAATTGAATAATCAAGAGGTAGCCATACAATTATTTGCTTAGAGAAATGGAGAAAAAATACCAAAAGAACAAATGTAAAAAGAACAGGTGCATTCATTACTAAACAGAAGAAGTTGGAAGGATACTTTAAGAAAAAATAAGCCAGCCTCTTTATGTTAAAACAAAAATTAGCAAGTTTTGAAATAATATATCTCATATGATGAATCCTCTGTAGTCTGTGTGTGTGCGAAAAAAATGAAGGATTCATATATATGTGCATATTGATGAAATGTAGGAAGATCTTGGTTCTTGTGGAAAATTTAATTACCTCTGTCAAGGACTACTGAATTTTGCATCATGAAATTTTCATATTTTGCATCATGAAATTTTTCATAGCTTGCATTTAAAAGGACCATGATTTGTGTTTCTACATCAGACTGGATCCATGGAGTAGCTCTAGATAGTAGCTGGAACTATTTAAATGCATTTGCAAACTGCTTCTCAGTTCAAAACAAGGAAGTAATTAGTCTCATAGCCTGATGGGGAATAAAGAACATCAGTGAACAAGGAAAACTCAGGCAATCTAAAAA